TGTTGGTTGTTGAACTGCACCATTCTGTAGATCAGGTATGTTGGTAGTAGAACTGTACCATTCTATAGATCAGGTATGTTGGTTGTTGAACTGCACCATTCTGTAGATCAGGTATGTTGGTAGTAGAACTGTACCATTCTATAGATCAGGTATGTTGGTTGTTGAACTGCACCATTCTGTAGATCAGGTATGTTGGTAGTAGAACTGTACCATTCCTTAGTTCAAGTATGTTTCTAAGGTAATAGCATTTTATTTATTTAAAATAATATTCATGCAGTTATTCTCTTAAATAATACTATTCCATATAGTAAAGATAATATTGGTGTTGTTAGTCTGTCATTTCAGAACATTCTATAAAATAAAGATAGTATATATGTTTTATTTCAATATTTATTATGAATTAAACATCTTTAGTTTTACCCAAGTAATACTTCTTTTCTTACCGTGCTATCCATAGTTTAACAACTTCTTAAAACTACCATTTTCGACTCAAAACTCTATGTAAACCTATTTATCACTCAAATTATTTTAATTTAATTGAGCCATTCTCATGCGTTTTACCAGGTCGTAGCCGCAGGCAGAGTATGTTGCTGTGATGATAGAGAAATAACTAGCAAGAAAATGTCACCAAAGATAAGGTCTAAAGGCAGCTATGAAGGACAAGCTTTACGATACATATCTACGTACTCTTCAGTTAAATTTGTTCTATCTAACTGATGGTTTAGTAAGAACTGAGAATGAAGCAGTATAATTATAAGAATGTGGCAGATATGTAGTTCTGAGTTTCATCCAATAGCTTTACATTTTGTCCCTTACTAATAAAATCCTTGAGAAGTACTGATTTTAGAAGTAATATTAGGATTGTTTTCGTATAGTATTATGCTAAAAGAGCTTGGCACTCAGTGGTAGGTTGTATACATTTACTCCTTTTTCAAATACAGTATTTATAATATCTTATTTGAGGATTTTTTCAAAATTACACGTTGTTTTGATTAACCTTAAAGTTTTCATCCTCATTAGCTGATGTGCTAATTAGTCCCAGATTTAAATCAATTTGAGCAGAGAGAAGAACTTTCATTGTTTACGTGTTAAAAATGTCACCAAATCCATATGTTATAAAATATAAACATACTGAATAAAAGTTAACTGTATAACATTAAACAAGATTTTTGTATAAAAACAAGAATCTTTCTAAAATTGTATTCCCTCTTTCAGATTACTTTGTTGACTAGAAAAAAAAAACTTCATTCTGTGAAGTATCTGATGTTTGTTACCATAAGATGTAGAACAGTTCTGTAAGAATTTTATTAAATGTGATAGAGTAGTTAGGTATGATAACAGAATGAATAAATCTACAAGTAATGATCTACAAAATGTCTGAAGAGTTATTGAGTCCTATTTATCGATTTACAGTATTAACGCAACCTCTAGTACAAATCTACATCCAAAACCCCCTGTTATAAGTCGGTATCTAAAACCTCTGTACTTATCCAGTCTTATTTATCCATTTAGAACTGGCGTGTTTTTTTTTTTACTTCTCCAAATCTAAAATTTACTAAGGATTGGTTTATACTTTTATAAAAAGTAATCATTTGATTAATGAGTATAAGTAATATCCTTAAAACTGTCTGTGATATATGCTTTAACAATGTTTTCTCTGTTTGTTTGAGTCAGTGGTTTACTATGTTACGTTTTCCAGTCATCTTTCTTATTATCCACCTACATTTAACTTGAAAATATAAGTACGATACTGAAGTGTTAAAAATGGATGATTTTCTTTTCCTGAACTGTGGAAAAAAATGTGTTGACAATATAAATCATGAAGGTTTTGTCAAATGAAATTAATAGTGTTTTGTTTGAAATGTTTTTGTGTTGTTGAGACTTTTGAATGCTATATTAATGTGGGAAAAACAGTTTTAATATTGATTTAATGTTATTTAGTGACAAGAATATGGCAGTTTTTTTTTTGATAACTTTGGTTTTCTTCATATCCGAGACACAAATTAAGGAAATTTAAAATTCAGTTTCTCATGTTGTTCTTTTACAGTAAATGAAATGTTTGATTGATAAAATTTGAAATAGTTTTATATAATACTTAGCAGTTATTATATGAACTACAGTTTTCCACTATGTTTCTTGTTATGCTCTGGAATCACGAGTCTCATAGTATGAAATCATGGAAAGTTTTGTTGCTTGTTGAATTCAAAGTAACTCTACACTTTACTGTTCTTTGTTTTTATATGTATAAACACCATAAGTATGGTTTAAGTTGTTTCCCCTTGTTGTGTATATGCTGCAAATTAATATTTGCTTCAGATCAAAGCAAGCTGGATACTTAAACTAAAAATCATCCTGGTCATGAGTATAGCTAATTAAATATACTTGCGTTCCTGCTTGTAAACGTTAGAATGTATTGTTTCATCAGTTAAATTCCCTCACTGTTAACTATTTTTTCGGCTGTAATCCCAATAATATTTCACAAGGTTTGTCAGCTCAGGAGATTTAGGTTAGTCCTAAATACATCGAGTAAGCTAACGATGGAAAACTATCTCTATATTAAAAGGATAATAATTTAAAAGTAATAACATTTTATATATTAAATTGTCAATCGAATACTTATAATGAAAATAGCAATAAATAAACAATTTTGTGAAAAACAGGATCTATCTTTCGTCTGCAGAACCTTCAAAAGACTAATTTCTTCTTTATGAAACACTTCTGTATTCCTGAATATTTTAAGCGTGGTTTCTGTTTACAGACCTACCTGGCTTCCGTTTATATGTTAATAACGAACGAATATGGATGCAGCTCAAAAAAATATGAGAATATAAAGAAATTTTAAAGAATTGTAAGTTAAAAAGAATTACAAGGTTTTGGCCAAATGTTTACCTCTTTTTTTTTGTTGTTGTTGTTGTTGCTTACAACAGTTTTAACTATTTGTTTGTGTTTGCAGAGCTTAATGCATAGTAGATCCCTTCTTATCTTTTATTGGTCAACTCTTGAGTTAGTAGTTAACATTTACAGATCTTTTATGTTACAGACTAACTTGTTTGATGTTCAATAGGAAAGATTTATCACTTGATAAATTTTATCAGCTCATATCTATTCAGTAAATACAATTATTTCATTTCGAAGGTACAATCTTTATTTAAGAGATGTAAGTTGAAAAAACAATTGTGTAGAAGTGTGGTGGGTTGTTCATGTTTCATATGTTATCCTGCAGAAATAAGAATACACATGTACTTGAAAAATGTTTAAAAGATAAGCCAACTTTCTTATTTTACCACCAGTCATTCTTCTTCTGAATATAATTTGGTAGGTTTGCTCTGTGATACTTGACCAGTCAGTATCAATAGCTATTTCATATTGATGTGGGGATGTATACTCTGGCCACTAATGACAATCTTTTGTTAACCACCTAAGTGAGAAATTGTATCGTTTCAATGAGGTTGATCAGAACAGTTCCTGTATTACTTAGTTTATAAGTGTAGATAGTTTGAATTTATAAGGTGTACTAGTGGTTTCTTCGAATAGCATAACTAACAGATTAATTAGGATTTTTGGTTAGTATTTCAATTGCTGTAAAAGTAACGTTTGAGCTGTTTTTCTTGAATAAGTTGTGGGTAGCACCATTTTATTTAATTGTTTTGTTGTTTTTTTCTAAAATCCTTATAAAGGTTTATTAAACGTGGTTAAAACACCGTATTTTGTGTACCAGTTTTTCAAACCGACTTTAAAATATTAAACAGCGGAATTTTCTTTTCAACGTAGCTACATTTAGCTCTGACTAAATCGAATTAATCAGTGATATGCTGTAGATTTATTTAAAAATCTTTTAAGATAATTTACAATAGAGGACAGCACGTGTAAATGACTTTTTATGTTGTTGTTTTTTAACTCGTGAATTACTAGTATGGGTCTTGTTTGTTTGTTAAAGATGTATAAACTAAGAAGTGGCGGCTAATGGGGTGCAGGTAGACATGCGGTGAAATTGAGCGTTTTCATTGTCATCATTTATACTTTCCATGTTTTGGAGTTATACAATTAATTTGTGTTTAATGCATTCCATAGCCTCACTTGCTGTATAATTGGCTCTAATATTCTGTGTTGTAGAGATGCAGTTCATCATGTATAGGTTATTTTTCGGAAGTAAACTTCATTTTGCAAATGTGAATGCGTGTACCTTGTATTTTGTTACTTATTATTATTTTGTAGTGGTGGAGAACATGTTTATTTTATATAATTTACATAAAGAGCTTAATATTCAACCATGGAACGAGCAAAAAAGATTCTGAATATTTCAATTCAAGTAATCTTGGTGAAATTTAGTTTGAGATTACCAGATAGAAATATTTTTTTTCATGTTTTTTTTTTTTTTGTTTGTTCTGCACATCTTTTTAGCAAGTAGCTATTCTTTAGTTTGGTTTATTATCTGAGTTAAAAGTATTGAAGTTAAAACTAGTTTCAATTTCAGGCATTGTTGTACATGAAAGAGTGATTTGCGAGCATTATTTTAACTAAGAGATTAGCGATATCCTCACTCAATACTTGTAAAGAATAAAACGAATTTTTGTATTACATTCAGTAGTTATAAAGTATCAATAATAATAGACAGAAGACCTAATTCTTTATAACCCTTTATTATTTCTTATTATTATAAACTGGTTATCAACAGTAGGCCTAATTCGTCACAAACCTTTATTACTTCATTCTTACTATTATAAATGGTGGTTATCGAGTATTAATAAACAGTAGGCCTAACTCGAATCAAACCTTTATCACTTCTTACTATTATAATCAGTGGTTATCGAGTATTAAACAGTAGGCCTAATCCGCTACAAACCTTTATCACTTCTTACTATTATAATCAGTGGTTATCGAATATTAAACAGTAGGCCTAATCCGCTACAAACTTTTAACATTTCTTACTATTATAATCAGTGGTTATCGAGTATTAAACAGTAGGCCTAATCCGCTACAAACCTTTATCACTTCTTACTATTATAATCAGTGGTTATCGAATATTAAACAGTAGGCCTAACTCGAATCAAACCTTTATTACTTTTTAGCGACTTTTACAGCTACTAGCGTTCCTGATGTTGATATGTTAGACACTGACAAAGAGTTTGATTGTGTTGTGAGGGTTATCTAGTATATCAGGAAGTCTATGCCATTTTAAGCCATATGCCAGCTCTTGTTGGTTTGGTTAGTATGTCTGTAACCAAGTCGTCCCAATACTAGATATAGCCTTCCCACCACAGAAAAGAGTAGAAGTTGCTGTAGACGTGTTACGTAGTGCTGTAAATATGGAACAAAATTCTAAGTGTCTTGAAATTGTATTCAACATACTCTTGAAGTTCATGTCTCTATCACATCTGACGAAAATCTTTAAAATTCCATTTCATCTGATGAACCACCACTGCAGTTATCTCACGTTGAATGTTTAATATACATTGTTGCGTCAGCGAGGTCACATGACTAGTATCACGCCACCTCCTTCTAGAAATATCCTGTTCCTTCGTGAATTGTCGGGAGATTATTAGATTAGGGGTAGTCTGGTATATATAAGACGCTCACAACGTGACGGAACAAGGTAATGAGTAATTGAATGTATGCGGACAGAATATTGTTGGCCACGTGAGACGTGAGTTATAGCGTTGTTATAGATCGACTGTTGAAATTAAGTGTATCGTAAAGTTGTATTCGGAAATAATAAACCAGTTTTATTTAAGAAAGAACTTGTGTCGCTAAAGTTTAGTCGGAAAGAATTTACGGAAAATTAACTAACGAACGGAGACGTAACAACACCTTTCACCAGCTTTGTATGCACAATCTTAGGTTTTTTCCTCGAAAGAAAATGCAGAGCGTCTAAAAGACTACAAAACTGTCCCAAGGACTACAAGGTTGTGTTCTAAGATATATTTTCAATCTTTTGATTGGGATTGTTGCGTCATCGAGATCATGTGATTCTCACGCTCTCTACTTTCTAGAATTATCCTGTAATTTGGCGAATGTTCTAGTTCTTACTAGATATAGGGTAGGCTGGTATATAAAAGAGGGGAATGTAATGTGTCTTAATAAAACTGGTTTATTCTTTCCGAATATAACTCTGCGATACACTTAATCTCAATACTCGCGCTAAAACAAACGCTATAACAACGAACGTTAACTTCAACAATACGTCTCTCTCTGACTGCAGTTCAATTACTCAATATCTACCCAAAGGACTTGTGTCGCTTAAGTTTCGTCGGAACGAAGTTACGGAAAAATCAATTAACAAACGGAGACGTAACAGGATGATAGCTAGAGGACGCATAACGTTAACATCAAGTAAGCTTGTGGGAGTTGGACTAGAGAGGTTTTAAATTTGACATCACGAAAATATAGTAAATTAGGGAAGTATCGAGAGATCAGAGTAAATTATAAATATGAGAATCGGTGAAGCACTGAGTCATTGTAAATTGAGACATCTAAATGAAAACTTTTCCGTTTATTTTGTGCGAGTTTCGAGCAGATGCCATTCGTCAGGCACCAAAGAAAGCGTTACAATGGAATTAAGCTAGAAATAATCGTTAAAAGATAAAAAATAATTACACGCGTTTAAAGTAGAGCACAGTAACAACAATACTGAAAAAACATCGTTTAACTTATTACGTAAACTTTATTGAAAAGTGGCAATAATACCAAAAAATTAGAACAACTAAAATTGGATGTAGAAATAATAAACATAAATACGTGAAATAATAAAATAATAGCCTAATACAATAAAATAATAATCTTGGGAAATAATTATGAGAAGACATGGGTAAGATGGAAGATTTAACCAAGAGTAAGAGGTAAGGTAAACACATCTAAAGGTAAGGTTTAAGGGGATGAAATTAGAGAAAGGATCGACGGAGTTTAGTAATCATTTAAAATTAAATCGTCCGTTTATTCCACAACAGGACTTGGTGTTGAATTGTAAGATAATACTATGTTCAAAGCTTTCTCTTTTTAATTTGTTGAATGGCACATTTCTCATGACTGAGACTACCATGTCAGGAGAAATTAAATGTCTAGGAACTGGGGAGTCAGTAGAACTTTCTCTGACAGACTTAAGGTGTTTATGAAAACAATCATCCAGTCTGCGGGCTGTTTCTCCAGTATATAGTTTGTGAATAAATGACGCGTTCTGACGTGGAGGTGTAATTAGGGCTAGTTATTGTGGTGCTGTATGAAACTTATGGACAAATATAACATTTTTTCTGGTACAACGATGAGTTCCGATTCCGGGGAAATTGTTGTACTGAAGCTTCGAGTAATTCAAGTTGTCTTTAAGGTTGGGATTACGCCTATAAGAAACTATGGGAGGTATAGCAAGTATTTTGGAAGTTTTGGGAACAGTCATTAATAATTTTTTGTATGATATTGGCTGCTAATCCGTTGACGGGATGGTATGTTAAAAGCAAGGGGGTTCTATCGCGTTGACTTTTGTCCTCAGGTTGGGTGGGATTTAAACTGATGTGTACGTGGTTGTGGGCTTTTTTTGATGACATCGGCCGGGTAGTTACGTTGTTGTAAAAATACTGCCATTTCAGTGTTTTCGAACAGAAGGTGTTGGTCCTCAGAACATAAGAGTCTCAGTCTTGTAAACTATCATTTATGAATGGCAGCTTTGGTTTTGAGAGAGTTGGGTGAAATGTGTATGTTGATATCCACTCGGTCCACTAGTATCGGAAATTTGGTAAGTGTATTTAAGGACTGAGTGGAATTGTTGGACAAAATCGGTGAACTTGTCTACTTACGTTTTGGTACATGTAAAAATACCTAAGATATCGTCAGAGTAGCGGATAAAGAGTCGGGAAAAATATCATCAAAGTGGCATAGAGGTGTTCAAACAAACAGATTAGTGAGGGAATGACCCGTTTTTGTACCCATGGAGATACCGGTAAGTTGTTGATAGAGTTGGTCGTTGAATTCGAAATTATTCATTGTGAGAACTAATTCTACGATTTGAAGGAGAGTTTCAATGGTGGAAAATTTAGTATATCATTTGTTTAAAAATGCTTCGGAGCTAGCATGACCTCATTGTGAGAAATACAGGGTTCGTATATCTATGGTAAAGATGTAAGTTACAGGTTTTGTAGGTCTTTAAGACAGTTTAGAACATCGATGGTATCTTTAACACAGGAGGGGAGAGAGTTAACGAGAGGACAAACTCTAGGTAATTAGATATGTGTTGAGTGGGGTAATTACAAGCTGAAACTATGGGATAGCCATGATAACCAGATTTCTGAATCTTGGACAATAAGTAGAAAATTCCTGTTCTAGGATTTATTTATTTATTATTATTTGTAATTAGGGTTTTGGCATTATATGGGAGCTTACTACATTTTACAAGTTCTTTGATAGCTTTCTGAATATGTTTGTGATATTCAGAAATTGAATATTTGTTGAGTGTCTTGTAGAAGTTGGGGTTGCTCAGTTAGGGCTTCTTGCATATAAATATCTCGTTGCCACACGACTACAGTTGCGCCCTTGTCGGCTGGTTTAATTACTAAGACCTGCGATCCTTGGGTCGGGGAGTTTTTTTGCTTTAGATTTAATACATGGATTTCACTTCGACAAAGATTAACTCACAGCTTTTACAAACTTATACAAATTTCTGACCACCTCTCCATATGAGTATGACTTAAAATCCAGGGAAGCAACGACATAGAAGAATGGCCAAGCAAACACAAGCCCTATAAAATGGCCGCTGTCATGTGTAACCTAAGTCCAAAGTCAGGATTAATGTATGACTTGGCTACATATATCCTGATCTCAAGAATATCAACTAGTTTCAAGAAACCTGAATGAGAAATTTTGAATATTTCTTAATATATAAAGATATATTAAGAAATATATAAAATATATTGTTGCGTCATCGAAATCACGTGACTGATGTGGCGCCACCTATTTTCTAGAACTATCCTGTACCTTGGCGAATGCTCTAGTATTTACTAGATATAGGGTAGTCTGGTATATAAAAGAGGGTGACAACGTGACGATAATGTAATGTGTGAGTAGATAGTGAGTAATTGAACTGCAGTCACAGGGTATTGTTGAAGTTAACGTTCGTTCGTTATAGTGTTTGTTTTAGCGCGAATATTGGAATTAAGTGTATCGTAAAGTTATATTCGGAAAGAATAAACCAGTTTTATTAAGTAAAGACTTGTGTCGTTAAAGTTTCGTCGGAACGAAGTTACGGAAAATCAATTAACAAACGGAGACGTAACAATATATTTTCAACCCCAATGCTGATAACTAATTATTGATTATTATTTTATTGTATTAGACTATTACGTTATTATTTGACGTATATATATTATTTCTAAATCCAATTTTAGTTGTTCTAATTTTTTTTTGTATTCTTGCTAATTTCAATAAAGTTTACGTAATAAATTCAACGACGTTTTTATCAGTATTTTTGCCACTGTGCTCTACATTGAACGTGTGTAATCAGAACCTTTGTATTATTTCAAATTTTAATGGATATTTCTAGCCTAATTCTATTGTAACATAGCCGTTAGTGCCTGACGAAGATTGTCTGCTCGGAACATCGCACAAAATAAACTGAAAAAGTTTTCATTTAGACGTGTGAATTTATTCTTTATCATCATTTATCCAAGTTTTTCTGCTCGTGTCTTGAGGAATAACACTCATCCATCGAGTCAGTGTGTTTTGCTTTAAACTAATGGCGAATAGAGACCGTGTTTTGAGTTAGTTAGTTAGTTTTTTTTTTGTTTTTTTTTTTCCAGTCATCCAGTGAAGATTTAGTAAATTATTTTTGGATCCGTGTTAATTATTGTATATATTTAGTTTCTTGATCGATAAGCCGTGAAACTGTACAAGCTAAATTAGTGTGGTATTTCCGTATGCCTACGAGTTATGATAGTGTATAAGTGAGGCATCTAGTAGAAACGTTAAGACTGAAACAAACGAATTTGTTATCGTTACGTGAACTGGCCATTGAATCATTTTCATCAAATAATTTAAAACAATCCAGACAACAAAAGAACATATGTTAAAACACTAGTGTTAGAAATGAGAATATTTGGGTGAAAGTAAAATAGAACATTGAGTAAACGTCAACTTTCAACATTACTTTATATACGTCGATCAGATTTTTTTTTCGGAATTAACGATACATTAAAGGAAGACCAAGAAAAAAACCTAAAGGAAATTGAAAGATGATGAAGAGGTATGAGACAGGATGAAATTAAAAGACAAGTTAAAAGAAAGAGATGTATTAGTTAAGGAAAAGTTAAAATAAAAATAATTCTTATTGAAGACCAGATTGATAAATAAAACAGTTGTAGATGTACAGAGGGATTACAACAATAAGATTGAAGAAATACAAAAATACACCAACATCTAGCAGAAAAAACGAATATGGGCCAAAAAATTTTCTTTGTTAAAATGTGGAATGTTAATATATATATATATCACACAAAGGGTAGAGTACGTGATATTAAACTATTTGAATAGATAATTTAGCATGTTACTTGACAAATACAGGAATATAAAGTCAAGGTGGAACATAATGTATCAGAATTGTATTTTGAAACTGTTTTGCGCTGTTTGGTAGTGTGATGCCACCGAAAATTGGTCGTTTTTGATAACGGCCCTTTTTATCCCAAAATATTCATACACTCGGGTCATAAAAATGGGTTCAGATCAAATTTCCAAAACGGGGGTGTCATATGTACTTAATGATATTGGAAAGAAACAAGGGCCGTCGAAAAAGTGACCCGCAACAGGTCTTACCAAAGTGTGACATCTTGTAACAAGTGAGAATCTACGAACACAAAAGTCAGTGGCAAAAACCTTAACAGTATGCAACACAATCAACAATGATAATCACCTGTAAAAGCAACACGCGTGTACACAATTTGCTTTCACGATAAATCTCCTTTAACCGTCGCATACCCCAAGCAGATGGAAAATGAAATGTGTATTCGTGCCATTCCGTACACTTAAGTCGTCAGATGCAGCGCCTATAAATTTCGGGCCCCGGCATGGCCAGTTGGTTAGGGTGCTCAACTCGCAATCTGCGGGTCGCGGGTTAGAATCCCCGTCACACCAAACA